TTATTCTGTCAACTGATTCATGCATTGTCTCTAACTTTATGAAAGTGTGCAAAATTTCAGATCGATTGGACAGGTAGAAGTGTGTCAAATATGATTATAAAATTTGTAGCAGACAAAATTATTTTTAATTTTTTTTAAGATTGAGAAAAAATGTTTAGTGTTAAAATTATTTATTCTGTCAATTGATTCATGCATTGTCTCCGACTTTACGTAAGTGAGCAAAATTTCAGATCGATTGGAGAGGTAGAAGTGTGTTTAATATCGATTATAAAATTTGTGGCAGACAGACAGACAAACAAACAACAAAAAGTGAAGTTAAAGAGTCGTGTTGTAAGAATGGCAATTAAAAAAAAATATCAACGAGTTTCACCTCATAGGAGTAACAGGTCGTTAAAATCTGTCAAGGTCGGTATTTCAACACCAGCCAGACTTTAGATCTCATATACAATCCAAAACAATTCCACTAAGTTCCCGTTTCAATTACAGAAAAATCGTCGGCTGTCATGACGTCTGCTGTTATTGACACAACTATAACCATATCTTCAACCTGAGTATTGTTTAAGGCAACTAAAATTGTAAGTATATTTTCTGGTATGATTATGAACGGAACTACCGTCTGTGGTATTCTCGATAATCTACGATTCTGAGGACTTCAGACAATGTCGAAACTCCACACGTTCATCATACTTGAGAAATAATTGTTTGAAATGAAAAGAATTGGTCTCATTGGTGCGAATCACGTTCAACTCAAAAAAATAAATCTTCTCTACACCTGAGCAAGATTTTTAGGAATGATTTCCCTCTCTATATATCACAAGACATCCTGATGGATTGATGACATACAACATCCCGATGGGTTTATGCCATAAGGCATCCTGATGGCTTGGTGACATAAGAAATCCAGATGGGTTAATGACAAAAGACATCCTGATGGGTTGATGACAAAACATCCTGATGGGTTGATGACAAGACATCCTGATGGGCTGATGACATAAAACATCCTGATGGGTTGATGACATAAGACATCCTGACGGGTTGATGACAAGACATCCAGACGGGTTGATGACATGACATCCTGATGGGTTGGTGACTATAAGACATCCTGATGGGTTGATGACATAAGACATCCTGATGGGTTGATGACAAGACATCCTGCGATGGGTTGATGACATAAAACATCCTGACGGGTTGATGACAAGACATCCTGATGGGTTGATGACATAAAACATCCTGATGGGTTGATGACATAAGACATCCTGATGGGTTGATGACATAAGACATCCTGACGGGTTGATCACAAGACATCCTGACGGGTTGATGACAAGACATCCTGATGGGTTGATGACAAGACATCCTGATGGGTTGATGACATAAAACATCCTGATGGGTTGATGACATAACGCATCCTAATGGGTTGATGTTATAAGACATCTTGATGGGTTTTAAGAGAAAAATCAGACGCATTTGCCAATTTTTTTCACTTTCCGGCAGCAAATATTTGAAAATTATTTTAGATGATCGGCAATTTCGTACATGGGAATTAATAACTCAGCGATTGGCAAGTTTAGCTATGTGCACGAGTGATGATTGGTTCAGAGACTCATGATGTTCACAAAACTGTTGAGATAACATTGCATACATCCACCAACTCAATGAAATGATTGGCGTTGAATGTATGCGACGCTCTCTGTTTATAAGCCTCAGATAGATACCGTTGCTCTAGCTTAAAATGCCTGTAAAATCGAATTCCCTTCAGCAGCCAAACATAGACTAATGATTTGAATACATTCAACAGCACGACCTTAATGATTTTAATTTTACAGTTATCGTTCTCTGTAACATTGCCGCTCAGTTAGTATGCTCCCTCCCCTCCCGATTATTGAATGTAATTTGTCAGATCTCTAAGGACAGCAGGGGAGAAATAACGATAGAAAGATTCTTCCCGCTTCTCCTTCGCAATATTTGAATAAATTTATTCCATATAAAATGAATATCAATGGCTTTGTCTAAGTTCACTTGAGACCTGAGCATTTCATGTAAAACCTGGTTAGCTATAGCAGTCCAAATCGTCTATGTTTCGACATAGTGAGCTTATTCTAGTGCTGTTTTTTATTCGCTGCGGCATTGGCTTAAAAAGTAGGAAAATCACGACGTAAATTTTCATTTTTCAATTTAAGCCTCCCGCTCAATTTTAACACGCACAACCGATGTAAAGCTAGTCAACAAGCTTCACGAATATTTGCCATTAAATTCAACTTTTCACATGAATTCTTATCATCAGATGTTCACATGTTACGACTTATGTCGATGGTAGACCGTCATGTCAGCTATAGGTGCTTGATAATACGGCACCTCGTTACAGATTCATGCGAGCGCAACTCGTCACATATTCAAATGAGAGAAAGCAAAAGGAGGACAAAAGCCTGCCTGAATTTTATTAGGAGACAAAGGAGGCGAGCAGATGAGCTCCTAATTCATCAAACACGCGGAAAAAATGTAGAAAATTGTCACGTTTCAGATAGACGGTCATCGTCATCTCTGTCTGCTAGAATTAATATTCTGTTCCACATCCAGCCATTGGAATGAAAACTTTGTCACCTGAATGTCATCTTTCCATCAAAATCATTATCCTCATTTGAAGCCGTTCAAAATTTTTACAATTAGAAACGAAAATGTGGCTGTTGTAACCGATAATCTTAGATTTCAATATTGAGTGTCCTGAGTTGCTGAACCACTGCTTCACACACGAGATTAAAAAATTGAGGCATGACAAAGTTAGGCAAAATCATGCCTTGTGTTCGGTAGATATTGAGAGACAGGTATCTTGCAACACTGCTTAAAAGTGAAAAAAGTGGTAAAAAAAACTAAGCCGCGTCAGATTCTACGCGAAAACAATATCAGAAAGTGAAAATTGTATCATCAACAATCCACGATCGTACTGATTCGACGATGGTCATTATTAGCTGCTTTTAATGCACATTTAACATTATTATAATGAAAGATATTTGGTCGATTAATTAATTCGTTCCTACCGACAAAAAAATTACAATTTATCTTCAATTATTTTAAAATAATTTGTGAATCTGAGAGATAATTTCAGGTCCTTCAGCCGCAAGGCAACTCGTAGTGCAGGCCGCGGTATTTTGCTGCAGTGTTCATTAGCTCTGCAGGAGCAAGGGTCTCAGCGCTCGAGGGCCATCGCGGTCCAGTAAGTTCATTTCGAGCCTCTAAGGAAAGTTTACTTCCATTTTATAATTTGTCGAGGGCGGTGATTGCTTGAGCTGCAGCTGCTGCTAAGCCACCACCTGCCGGCCTCTGACCTTAATATAATTTGTTACCAGTGCAAATATATCTTTATTATTCTTGTTGCTTGAGTTTTCAATTTTGAGTTGAAGGACTCAAAAAAATAAGAGGTAAATTAAGGACTCTTGAAAAAGGATTTGTTTTGTCTTCACGGAAAACTCTTTCACTTCGATATTAAACATTTAAAAATACGTAGTAATTCAGTTGTGAACTTTTTCCAGCGCATCTTTGCGATTTAGTTTTATTCAACTTTTTACTTGCAGCCTTTCCATGAATTTGAAGTCGGATTGTACTTTTTGCAGAAGATAATTTTTCTGCCAACAAGTTTCATCCCAGAAATTATATCATTGATTTAAATACGTTTCGATAATGAGTGAAAAGCGCATCACCGGCGTGAAATTTCACATCATGACACATGCATGGAAGCGTTTATTGAATCCAGTTGGAGTCAGTAATTGAAGCGGAGTGCGCGCCTTTGGCAGAAAATAATTGCATATCAGAGAATTATGATTCAATTTAACTTATTGCGGAGCAACGACAGCTAAAATATACAAGGTTTTATTCTCTAGAAATAGCAGAAATTCTCTATTGCTGTTTTGATTATTTACTATTTTGACTATTTACTACTACTATTACTATTTTAAGTTGTTTGACGAATGTTAAAAATTCTGTCCAAGTCCATTATTGGCAAACAGAAGAAACTATTGACAATTTATGTTAGAAGTTCCCGAGCGAGCGCTGTGGGCTCATGAGCCACAGCCCAGCTCTGGCTTGCTGTATTAATTTCACAGCTTTTTGCGAGCCCGAATAGTTGGGGGCGAACAATCGAAAATGTGAGAAGTTACTGCAAATGTACATTGCCAAACGATGGGAAGTTAAATATTGAGCTTAGAATCTTAAAATTTAAAACAACACATTTCGCTTTCAAAAATATCCTCTTAAAATTTGCTGCAAAAATTGACCGAAAGCTACGCAAAAAAAGAACAGCTACGCAGGGAATTGAGATTATTTTCTTAAATTTATATGACTGATATTTAAAACACGATAACAACAAATAGAACAATTTAAATAATGCACGGACATTTGGATAATTACATTATTAATAATAAGACTGTTTTGGTAAGACTAGTAACTAAATCTACACAAAAGTAAACACTCAGCTAAAAGTTCAAAGTTCCAATTTCATGAAAACTTGAATAAAATATCATGTGACATGCGTATACTATATCTATTATGTAGGTACTCATTACCGGTGGCGATCTGAGATCGTGGATGGTATATAAAAGATCGCATCACGTTACTGGAGCAACAAATATGATCTAGAACACGTGACACGGGATCAAGAACTTGAAAAGAGGAGTTAATTGAACAATCTAAAAACAATAATTAAAAAGAAAACATGCCAGTATTTCCATTCATAGACTACGTCAGTTTTCTGTTTATTGTTGCAAATTATTGTTAAAATCCAACAATTTTTTACGAATGTTAGTAAAATAACGGTATTATTTTTTGACTAATGACTACAATACGAATTGCGCTGAACCAAAAACTTCTAATTGTTTACCGAAAACACAATGCTATACCTAATTAGTTAAGATTATGCAGGCTTGTCATATGTTAGGCCCAGTGTATAATTAACTCTACGAACAGTTTATAATGAACAAATAAACAAACATCATGCACATCAGAGCTCTAACCGATGACACTTGACTTCCTTCCGCGCTCACAGTTCCTGGCGCACTGGCAACATGAGATGGCGGGGAGCTGGCGCTAGCGGGTAGTTCACCTCTCAGTTCTGTTGAGTCGCTGGGCGCGGGAGGTGGTGGCGGCGGGTGAATGCAGTTTTCAAAATTTTCATTGGTAGGTTTGTGACTAAAATGCTGTAAAAGAATCCACAAAATATGAATTAAACAAATGACAGTATATTCATTATGAAACGTAGCCCATTTAAACAGTGGAGCTCATATATTGCAAAATTGTGTGTAGGGATAATTTTTCGCTGAGAAAATGGGTCAAATACGGTAAATTAGGTCTATGTGAACAATTTGATGCGGTATAAAAAAATAATAATTCACGTAATAAATTCGTATGAATCATTCGTAAAATATATATTAAACAAATACTGAGGCATTGTCATGATATTTATTTCTGGCGGTCCACGTAATGAGATTCGGTGCTTCATGAAGACGTATGTTGAATTTCTGGTGCTCCCATCAGTTGACAAGACAAGAACCGTTGAATAAAGGCTTAGGCGACTTTGAGCACAGCGTGACTGACAAGTCCTTCACAGGCGGGCGCACAAAGAACTCTTCGCGAGCCGTCAAAGGGAATGCGGCGTGAGGAGGATGACTCAACAGAACAAGGTTCTAGATGAACCCTCTGGGGGCAACTACGTATGCCAAGTCTTCTAAGATCCAATGTCAAGCACGGGTAGCGTAAACGATGACTAAAAAAGTGGCTCAAAGATGGAAAAATATTGTGAACAGTCACGTATACAGGCTTTGTTCTCCAAATAAAAATTTCCAAAACGATTCTGAATGAGTGTGCAATTGAACACAACTTACAACTAGAAATCTTAACAACAATACATAATTTTACATCTTTAGCAAATGTTTATTTATTATATGCTAGTAATCTATAATCAGTAAGAACGACGACGCCTGGAAGCGCTATTTTATCCCAGAGTTAACATATTTTACGATTGGTGCTATCGTAGAAAATTTTGTAGTTTCATTAACAGGGATTAAGCTGGAAAACGCAGTCATCTTCAGAATTGATAAGAGGTAAAGTCAAAATTTGCAGTAGCGAGTTTGAGGCAGGAAATGGAATGCAAGCAAGAGTTCAATTGACCGTCAATGGCAGCTGCTATTATAATGCAAATGTACATTGAGAAATGAGCCTAAATCTACCCAGGAAATCTGCCCGAATTATGCAGAACAAACTCATTTGAAGCTGCGATGACTGCCAAGGAATGGAGAAGACCATCTCGATGCAGACTTAACGCAAACTTTGCGAGAAATAACAACACACAATATTAACATGATCACTCATAAGAAGTTAGATAGAAAAAAAATTAATGTAGCGTTATCGTTGCCTTGAGTTTTGTGATCTTAAAAAAATTGGCTTTCGCTCCAATAGTGATAAAGTCCAACAGTCCTGGATGGACAACTTCGTTCTGTGGTTCAATAAATACAGATTGCTAATCGCTAAAGTTTTTTAATGTAGAATGCACAGTTAAATACTCGTATCCTAACACAATATTTCGCTACATACGTCTCCCATCATTAATTGTAGCCTAATTGCAATCGGCCGGTGATTGGCATCAACAAATTATTTATGTAATTTATGTGTTTATACCGCAAATTAATTATGATTTGCAAAAACAAAGAAAATACCAAGTTATTCGATAACATTTCGTATTACAGGGTGATTCGCGGAAATCACCCGATTTGAAAGCTCAATAAGAAAAAACCCAGTAATTATATCATTAAAATATAGATTTTGTTGAAAAAGACATTGCGTGAATTTTCGTATTATTTAGTTTTCAAGATGCCATCGGATAAATGACGGCCTGTATTGTGAATGTATTCAGTTAATCGATTTTAGAAGTTCCGTTCAACTCGCTGAAGCATATTGACGGGTATGTTGGCGATGGCTTGGCGTATGTTGATGTTATTCAAATGAGGCAGGATTCTGGGACAGTCATTGTAAACAATTGATTAAACCCCATAAAGACAATCACACGGAGACAAATCGGGGGATAGGGCCGGCCAAAAAAAGTCACCTCTCAAGAAGATGAGGCGCCCTGCAAAATGTTATCTCTGAAGATCCCTCGAACATCGCGCTGTGTGGAAAGTGGCTCCATCCTGTTGAAACCAGACATCCATGGCATTCATTTCAGCCAGTTTTGGCAAAAAAGCATTAAACTTTTTCGTGTACCGAGCTGCATTCACCGCTACTGCGCGTTCGTTTTCCTCTAAAGAATAAGGATCAATTAAGCCGACTTTTGACGCCGCCCACCACACAGTTAAGAGTTCACAATGATGTGGCCGTTGATGGAGTTCACGCGGATTGTTATCTCTCCAATAACACCAGCTAGGCGGGACATGAAACTTCATGACCTAGCCTTTCATTTGAAATACGCTCCGCTCTTTTATACAACATCTGGCTGCTTTGCGCGAAATACTAAACAGCAAGTTTCCGTGAATCACCACCCTGTATAATAGAAAACATTTCGCTGACCAGACAAACATCATTCTTGCAACGTCGTCTTGACGTTACATTTTATAGTTGTTTTAATGTTGAAAAGCGAATGGTTTTAAAAATTAAACTACGATGATATCATGTTAATGCATGACCGGATTACATTATGCATGTATAATCGTGAGTCACATTATATGAGCATCTTAATTATTACAATTAGCTGTATTAATTAAATGCAGAAATACTATTAGCGCCACTATCTATTCACTTAATTTTGACTATCCGCTGGGAAATCCTTCTTATATGTCTCTTAGAGCCGTTTCATGATTTATGACTCCACCTCTTGGTGCTTCAGATTTAGAGGTTTTAGAATCGTTGTATATTCTTCATACCTTGCTTGAGTGATGCTAGTAGTTCTTGTACGCGTAAACTCGTTGACCGTTGGTATGTTACTTCACCCGATTATCTTGATTTTAATTACTTCCATGTAAATAGTGTTGTTCCATTGAATTAAACTTGTATTCCTGTCGTTTGTGAAATAAGGATGGAACCGGTTTCCGGAACGTTTTCTAGGGACACTTGGTCAATTTACTAGTCACTTTTTGGCTTTAGAATTGTAACAAATCATAATACTGGACTTGTCTGGATTGAGAACCGAATATCGTGAAGCTACGACGCTTTTTTGTAAATCGTACTATAGGATTCGCAAGTGTCTAATCAATCGCAGGACTCGTCTAGGTGAGTACTCACATAATAGATTATAGCGGTTTCAGCGTTTATTAGGCCGTAGGCCTGTAGCCGATTCTTAACATCGCAGAATATTCACAGCTCGTTGCGGTCTCGAACGCGCAACTCACTGCTTCAATTTTGCTCTCCTTATCCGCACGGCCTGCTTGCCGATTCTGACCAGAAACTGGCGCACAGAGCTGGGATCGAACAAGCACCTTTTTGCGACAATCTTGGTACTCTGAACTGTAACCACTGGGCCACCCTGGCATGTTAAGCATTAATAAGAACATGTTATAAAAAGTTTTCGTTTGAAGTTTTAAAATGCATAGTTAACAGGGCGTCAGCGAGTTAATCGCGGGAAGAAGGCATACTTCAATTCTTACCATAGAGAATCTTTTAAATTCACAGGGTGGTTATATATGCCCAGAAACGGTCTGGGGCAAAGGACGCGATGGTCGCCTTCACTGCACGACCGTGAGTAGATTATGAGACCTTTTTCGACTTGCGAAGTTTTGTCGAGTCGACGTAACTTTTGGAAGTACCAACTCTAAATTCTGAAGTTCATCAGTCAAGAGGCAAGAAAGCAGCAAGCTCGAAGGAAAAGGGCAGAGAGAATGGGCTATGTATCAAGGGTGCGGTCGGAAGTTTGCAATGAACCAAAATGACTCAAACCGGACATTGAGACTCATGCAAATGTTTTATAACAGTCACAAAAACAAAGTGTCTCTTTCTAGTCAAGAATACATCTTTGGATTTAAGGAGAGCTTTTCGGAAGTTCAGAAAATTATGAACTTTAAATAAAACCTCGAGTGTAGTTTTAACATCATTTTTTGAAGCTAGTTCAAATTGCGAAAGACGTAAATCTTGGCTTTGCTAGTGACAAATTGCATATTTGTGATTCGACAGCAGCATCGTGAGAAGCGTCTCAGTCAAAATTGACTTCGCGTAGAGCAATTTAAAGTTTTTGAAGCAAGACGCTTCATCACAAAGTCGAGTGCTGCTGCCGAACGTCGCTCTCTTTAAATATTCTTGAGTTGAGTACCTAGCTCAGACATTCAAAACCCGTACTTTTCAGGTATTCGTTTGTTTAGTTGGCCAGATATTCGTGACTTGATCAGCTCAGAAGCCCGTACGTCGAGAAATTAAAATAGTGGTACGTCAAATAATTTCATGAGTTGAGCATTTGTATTCCAGTAGCTTCATGACGAATGACGACGACATTAAACTAAAATAAGCGAATCGGGTCACACGAACATAAAAGCAGACCGAAAATTGGAGCTCCACTCAGCCAAAATATTCAGGCGCATGCAAAGCTGCCAGCTCGGACCCATCGTCGCCGCAGATTGGAAGCCGCCACTTGAGACGAAGACGACAAAAGCTAACCAACGAATACCGCTCTTCCAATCTAGCAAGTTTGTGGCTGACGCTTTCCCCTAATTTTTGATGCAAACTTGCTCGACATGCTAGAGGTATGGTTAGGTAGCTGTAACTCTTCCCCAATACAGTGTCGTAATCCTTCTTGACATGCAGTGGCTATATGTGAGGTAGCTGTAACTCTTCCCCAATACAGTGTCGTAATCCTTCTTAACATGCAGTGGCTATAGTGAGGTAGCTGTAACTCTTCCCCAATGAAGTGTCGTAATCCTTCTTGACATGCAGTGGCTACAGTATATGTGAGGTAGCTGTAACTCTTCCCTAATGCAGTGTCGTAAACCTTGACATGCAGTGGCTATAGTGAGGTAGCTGTAACTCTTCCCCAATGAAGTGTCGTAATCCTTCTTGACATGCAGTGGCTATAATGAGGTAGCTGTAACTCTTCCCCAATGCAGTGTCGTGAACCTTGACATGCAGTGGGTGTGGTGAGGTTGCTGTAACTCTTCCCCAATACAGTGTCGTAATCCTTCTTGAAATGCAGTGGGTGTGGTAATGTAGCTGTGACTCTTCCCCA